ATTTAAATGGAACTAAACATAATGAAAATCCAATTCTCATTAAAGAGACAAAACAATTTTTGTTCTCATTTTATTTGGGCCATTTTGCAAAAACACAAACTTTTGGGCCAAAATACAAATACACAAAAGTATCAAAACTTTATTTAATTGCACAAAAGCACCCCACTAGAGGGGTGGCCGGCCATGGATAGAAATATTGAGTTTTTTGATACAATAAAATTTTGTAAGTGGATTTTGGTGGGTGAGATTAAAGATGGTGGGGATGGTTTGAAAAGAAAATATATCTTTGATATAATTAAAACCTTTTAATCATTTCTTACCAACAATCATCATCCATTAACCAATATTCAAAAATATATCTTTGACATAATCATCACCCATCAACTAATAATCAAAACTTTATGTAAAACATAAAACTTTTGAATCAAAACTTCAAAACTTTTTGTTCTTGATAAGAACTTCAAGAAATATGAAGAACATACATGAAAACTCATAATAGCTCCATGGATGTTTTCTTTCATCAAAAACTCAAATTTTCACAACTCAAAAGAGGGTTAATATCCTAGGGTACTTAGGGGTTCCAAAAAGCACTTTAAAACCATTTTAACAAGCCTAACATGAACCCAAAAAATCACCCTTTGGATTTGGCCGAAAATCCCAAAACACTTGGCACCAACTTTTAGTTCCATTATTCATGCTTTAATGAAATACATCTACAACATTTGAGATGCTAAATTTTCAAGTAAAATTTATATTCAAAGCAAGAACAAAGCTTGTAACATTTACAACACTTAAATCACAAAATATGAAAAATCACAAAACCCAAAAGGATCCACCATAAACTAGGCCTAGGCTCTGATACCACTTGAAGGAAAAATTTTGTCCTAGCTTAGAACATGTAAGAACATTTGAATACATATGCAAACTAATAACTCTTTAAAGTAGGCATGCATTCAAAAACAATTCATAAAACCTATGACTTTCAAAGCCTAGTATATGGTGAACCATAAGACTCTTTAACAAAATTAAAGAGAATAAGAATTTAGAGATTCTTTACCCTTGAAGCTCATCCTTGATTGCACAAGGGATTCACCCAAGTGGAGGGCCTTCAAGTCACCTCCTTGCTCCTTGAATCTTCCTTGTGATTTCCTCCCTTTTAGTGCTCCTTTTCTTCTTTGAGGATTTGAGGATTTGTTCTCCAAAACACCAAAAGTTTGGTGTCTCTAAGTCTCCACACCAAAAATATTGTGTGAAGATGAAATGGATGACTTAGGGAAGAAAGATTGCTAGATGTTCCTCCCCTAAGGTGAAATGAGAGAATAGGTTTCACCCAAATTCAATTAGAAAACCCTTAGGGTGAAATGGCTATAAAAATGTCTTTATACCACCTCACAATGGAGTGGCAAACTTGCAATTAAGCCAAGTTCACTACCCTTGAAGCTTATGGCCGGCCATATGTTGTATTTGGGCTTAATTGCCCATTTTGTTTTAGTTGTCATACAACTTAAACATAATGGGCCTTGTGGACCAAAACGTTTTTGTGCCCCGAAGCCCAAAACTAACTTAAACGCCCAATACGAACGTTTCGTATAATTAATTAACTATTTAATTAATCTTGACCATTCTTCAATTAAACCATTTAATTGCTTATCCATTTCATATAATTTCTTCACTTATATCTTTACTCGGTGTACGATCCATTAGGTTCCAATTAGCGAGGTAGTGGGCGATGTTACTCTTAACGATCGATTGTGAATTGAAACCACATTTCAATTCTCCCTTAAATTAGTGTTTGCTAATCTTTAGGGCTTCCACAAACCATGGGTGACGCCTAGCAGCATGTCATGGTTGCCCAAGCTAAGTAGAAGTGGTTGGAGAACCTATCCAGTTACAACTACAATGTAATACGGTCCTTCTCTAATACAATACTCTTAATCACATTGTTTAAGTGATAGTTTGTTTCATGTCTACTATCCAATGTGATACTTCTCTATATGATTCAATTGAATAAGATTTGGAACATCTTCCTTAGTCATATTCATATGCTTTGGCCAAAGACTCTCGAATCATATCTTAGAGTATTCTCCTTTCATCATGGAAGGTTAGAGATCCCTTGTTGTACATTCATATGCCTACATGACTAGATAGCTTGACCCCAACAATGCCGTGGACACTCCAATGGAATGCCGTTGACATAATCAAAGATCAAGGACCTAACCATTAGACATCAATGATGCCTCAGGTCAAAGGACTACTTTGCATATTGCAACTATTGAGTTCTCACATGACATGTATGTTCGAACTCTTGTTTGATCGTGGTTCAGTGTACTCGATTACTCTTTCGAGCACCTATGTGTTTGCCTTAGTGTCCAACACCAAATGACTTGAGACTAGTTCATACTCACGCTTGAGTCAACATAACACATACTAACCTTAGCGGATTGTCAATGCCCAATTGGCAATCCTATGGCTAGGAACGTTTTAGGAATGAACATAAGAGAAAGGTCTCGTTAATTTAACTAACTTAAATCACTTGTCTCTTAGATCAAATACATTCCTTGGATTCCCTTATTGCTTAAACACAAGATACTATAAATAGTGATTAACAATAAGCTTTGCCCTTCTATTAAACATATAAAAGTTTAACACAATAAGTATTCCAAAAAACTATTACATCAAATGAGTGGCTTTGTGGGCATACTTCCAACACTTCAACCCTTGGTTTTAACCCATAAAATTTATGTTTTAACCCAGAAATAGTTTTACTGCTCTAATTCTTATGGGTTAAATTTTTATTCATATATTATTAAATAATGAATTTAGGATTTTTTTTTCCCTTAAAGTAACTTAAAAAAAATAGAGTTGACTATCCTAATTTAATTTTATGAACATTTTAACCTAAACATATTTAGATTCCGATAAATATTAAAAAAAATCGCTCAATCAACACCAAGAAACTCGTGGAACACTATGAAAAAAATATGAAACACATGAAATAATTTTTTTTAATTAATTTAGTTGTTGGATTCAAATTTGGACCGTTAGATCTTTTATTTTTTTATTTTTTTTTTACAGTTGGATTTGTTTATATTGGATTTTAACCGTTGAATTCAATAAATTTATAAATATAAAACTAAAAGAAATACGCATATATGATGAGCCATACCACTAACTCAGAGGGAATTCTGCTCTAAGTTTGCCCCAAAAATGAGTTTTGGGTTAAAACTCATAATTAGCCCAAGGGTTAGAGCAAGTTGAAGTAAGTTTAAAACTTAAAATTTGAGCTTAGAGCAAGTTGAAGTAAGTTTAAAACTTAAAATTTGAGTTTTATTCCAAGGGTTGGAGTAAATCTTAGTGTATTGTGATTATGTGGCACAGACTTAGGGTAAAAGGGGTAGAGAAGATTGAGGAAGACTTGGAAAAAGATTCTAAGAAAAAAAACATGAAAAACTTAGAGCTAAATGACTTGGCGCAAAACCGAGCGCATTAGCGTTATAGGAACCATACAAACACGACATCGCTTAGTGAGATAAGACTTTATTGTTATTATTGTAGTATAGATTAGCATAGAATATTGTTTGTAAAATTAATACTTTCCTCTGTATAAACCAATTAATAAGAGTCATTATGTTTCTAAATCAAAGTTCAATTAATAAGAGTCGTGTGTCTAAATCCATCACATTGTCAATTCTTTATAATTAAGGAAATAATAAAAATAAGTTAGGTGCGGTGGCCACGATTAAACACGAATGGCGACTTTTCGTTCTTGTGATTTTCTTTCTGTCAAGGCACCCTTCTATTTTATCAATAATAGTCAATGGACCTGTCTTTTTTCTTAAATTGACAAATAAGGGCAATGATGAAAAAGGACGCTCACAAATTAAAATGACAATTTGAAAAGGAAATAATATGACATTTTGATTGAAATAAAAATTAAAAATAAATAGTAGATAAGAACAAAGCTGAAAACAAAAGATAGAGATGTGGCATTGAATGATCTGAGTGAGATTGACAAAATAGTTGATTTGATCTAATTCCTCCACATTTCTGAAATTTGGGATCAACTCAAATAAATTAAGGTATTGTTTGGTATTTAACTTGATTACAATTTATAATTTCAAAAACGATGAATGTAGCTAAAATATTCCTTACTCATTAGTTCAAAATAAAAAATAAAAAAAAAAAAAAAAGAAAAAGCCCTAAATCATCCGGCCTTTTTTTTTATTTTTTTTGGCTTAACCACCTAAAGAATGTAGGTTTGCATAATTAATTTATGGCACCTTACATTCCCTTTTTAAAAGTAAAAACAAGAATTTGATTACAATTACACAAATTCACAAATTTGCCACTTAGTTCGATATTTAATGTTATTATTTCATGTGAAATAATAAACACATTTTTTCTTTCTTACATGGTCTTTTCTTTAAGCGTCTCCAGAAAGGTCTTTAGTCTCATGTTTTGAAGGTGTACCAGCATAAAGATTTGTAAGAAAACGAACGTCGTTGACAACTCGGCAACCATCTTCTCTCTCTTCGCCTCCCACTCCTTCTCCCATCATTGGGTATTGGACACCAAGAGGCAGGTACTTAACCTCGAGAGTGAAGGCGATTTGCCTTAATCTTATTCATTTTATTTTTAATTATTCAATTAGATAACTATAATTAAAGATTAGTGTGTACCGAAGATTAAGGGGGTAAAATAAGTGTAGTTTTTTTCAATGTGACCGGTAAACAGAATGGTACACCACATGTCACTAAACAAATAGTGGGTATGTATCCTAAAAAGTTAATAACTTAAAAAATAAAACTTTCCACAATTCCTATTAAAACACGTGATCATGTGTTTCCGTCGCAACTAAAAATTTCCTGAGAAGATGGAGCTTCCAATGCAGCAAGTGTAACTTGCACCTGAATTATCAATTAATTATTATTATTTAAATTGAAAACTAGCCGACTAAACTGAAAAAAAAAAAAAAAAAAAAAAAACAGGGACCCAAAAAATTGAAAATTTGCCCCACAAACGGAAAATTGTTCACGTGAAGAGTACGAACGTGGAATGTTTTGTTAGAGCAGTTTCAGTTAAACATGTCACAAAACATAGTAACAGAAGGACATGAACGCGGCAATGCCGCTCAAGATACAGAGCCTATCTAACCGGCTCTCATTCCTCATCTTCTCCTCTTTCAGCTCGTTCTGTACTTTCGAGTACAAGTGACACGACTCGAGAACTTCGCTGTAGTTTTTGCTCCGCCGGCAGCTCAGCGCTTCCTTGAGAATAAGCAAACTGTTTCTTCCGTTGACGTGGGAGCCTTCCATGTCTTCCAACTGCATGCTTAGTTCCGTTAACTTGAGGGTTGTCTGAACACCTTCGCCTTCGGTGCAAATCACTCTGAACTTCATACTGAGGATGCATTCTACTACTTGACACGGAAGGATGTCTCTGGCGGGAAGAATGGATCCAAAGCGAATCACGAAATCCTTGTCCGTTGGCCAATGTCTTTGACCGCCGAGAGGGCACCAGCTCGCAAGATTAGCAGCTTGCTTTATTTTTCTATTTACAACAATCCAACTAAGCCGGAGTCCATCTCGCAGCCCCCTCCATAACTTCCCATCCTTCCTTTCTGTCTCCATAGATGTGATCGGTGGTAGACCGTCAGCAGCAGAGAGGAAAACTTCACCATCGTTGTCATCATCTCTATCTGCATAAGTAAGAAGATCGATCCGAAAAGGGCAGTTGTAAAACCAACCATTGAAGCCATTTGCATTCGGAATGCCCCAAAGAACTTTTGAGCAGATTATTTTGTCCTTGTACCTAATGTCCACGAGAGAAACAAAATCCGATGGTGAAATACTTTCGAATTCATCCATGTCACCATAGTATTCAGCCTCAGTCCATTCTTCAGGATACTCGAGGTAGTCATTCCATTGATACTCGGAAACTTCCTTGTTTACAATAAGGGGAAAACAATCTGCATAGAACTTTCGGAATCCACCAATGGATAGTATCAAACTCTTGACGTCTTCCCGATTAGTGGAAGGCCACATAGAAGAGCACACATTTTCCCACAATCTTTCTTCCTTTGAGATGGAACAGAATGCTGCACAGGCGCATGCTGCACTAGCCAAAGTTGGTCCATCAAGACGCTTCAATATATCGTAGAAAAGGTCTGTGTTCAAAGATGCCATATTCTCGACCTGTGCAGCTGACATTTGCAATAGATCTCTGATCATCACGGAAACAATGCAAATGTTAAATTCAACAAGAGCTCTCGTGATAACCGCAGAATAAAGTTTATATGACATTAAGAATAATCACAAAATAGTACGACAAGTTATTCAAGAATATCATACCATGGAACTACTTGACAATGTGCTTCACGTAGAGTTTTCACAGACTTTAATTACGGAAAGCAACAAGAGCTAATCAACCACTGACACGGGAACGGACTGATAACAGGGTTTCTATAAGGAACAGTCTGGTTGTAACTGAAGTCCTTCCGAAAAAACAGAGAGAAGTAAAGAATAAGTAGAAAAGAAAACAGAAAATCCACCAACAAATCCAAAAATCTAATCGAATCAGAAGCTTCAAGCTTCAGATTCTTTTAAGCCGAAGCTTTATAACTAGAATTACATTCCTCTCACAAATACGAAATCCCCTATGAAAACCGATCCAGCCATCGCTCTTGACTTTCAAAAGTGAAGTAAAAACCACTGTCAAATTTTACTTTTTCCGTGAAAAAAACACGTACAAAAACAAGAGAGGAGGACCAAAATACTTGCAGGTTGAATGAGTGAGTGTTGTGTGAAAAGGTGAAGCCATAAAGTCGCGGAACATCACAAATTGGGAATTCGGGATTTTAGGGAATGAACAATCAAATGTAACATTCATATTCTGAATAGGATATGATGAGTGTATAACTGAATAAACAACAATTAGTATCACTTCCTCACCACCAACACCTCTAAAGATGCACACTCGCTCTCACAAACATGATCCGTTGCAATAAATTAAAATTTGGAACAAGATGTAACCCAAGAACATTCTGTTCTTTAGCTTTAAAATTCATGACCCAAAATCAATAACAACATGGATAGCCATACATCACATTTGATCATATCTCCGACGCATGAGACATGTACTTCATCTATTTGATACATACGATATTTTACTTTGAACTAATCTATACTGCAGGAAGGGGGATTCGAACTCAGGTGAAGAGGGGGAGCAAATCCGCTCTAGCCAATGTAGTATGCCAACATTTGCGACATATATGATCAAGTACTACAACTAGTAAAGACCAAATCCAATTAAAAGCAGTGTTTAAAATATTTACAAAATTGTCGATATTTCTGTCGAAATACCTGAAAAATCAAGGATTGACATGGAGGGGGTTTTGAAATGCAAACTTCACCCTATATCAGTGAAATATAAGGAAATCAATGAATATTGATGCTACTCACCGATTCACTATAGAAATTTTGTCGGAACCCATTGCAAATTTCGAACTTTTGAATTTTTTTTGAGAAATTTTTCTCTAATTTCGACTAAATTTGGATGTGTTGATATACCTGCCTCATTGCAAATTTCTATAATTTCCATTGAAGGCAACCTATATCGATATGTCCATCGATATTTCCATAAATTTGCATATCGATATTTTAGACACTGAAGTGGAAATTTTGAGGGGCAAGAAAACAGCTCTGGTCCTTCAGACAGAGTACCAAGTTAGGTAAAATAAAACGACATGTTATCGCCAAATCACCATTTTCTGATCCTTCCAATTGTTGCCTCTTCAAAAGAAATAAATAATATTCCAATCTAATACACCCTAAAAAGCAGAAAATTACAAACTTTCAGGTACGAATATCCACCAGCAACAGAAAAATAGACGAACAAAAAATCAGATGGAGATGGGCACCAACTTGCAGAGGAAAAACACATTGAAAATAAAAAAAAACCCACCAAATTACAAATTAACCCAAATAAAAAACACGAACAACAAACAAATTCCCACATAAACAAGACCAAAACCTTAATCAAACAAACCAAGATCAAACCTTAATCACACAAACCAGAAACTAATCATTTGCATAATCAACATTAAGAAACAAAGAAAAAGAGGAACTGGGTTTTGTTTTACTAACCTCATTGATCAGCCATGAACTCACACGAACAACAAACAGGCTCCAAACATGATCAAAGATTCGACCTTTGAGTTTTTGAGGTTTCCGATGACAGAAAAGCAGAAACCTTTGCGGAACCTTTGAGGAACCCAGATGGCAGAATACGACGATATCTTAATAATCAAATCGAACAGGTTTGTTGGTCACTTTCCTTCTACTTCCAATTTCCAATATGTCTTTGGTGGAAGGTTACCGGTGAACTGTGCCTTTTCCTTCTCTTACGTTTGGCACGAAACTACAAGATATAGGATTTTGCCTGGGTCTCTCTCTCTCTCTCTCTCTCTCTCTCTCTACCTTGTCTCTCCTGTGGATGCGATCCAGTCTTATTCATAAACCGCTCAAGTATTATTGCCAACTCATCAAACAAATTAATTGGACCAACCATACCTTCATTTATACCTACTTCTAACCTTCTCGTGTATGGATTGGAGGGATTTTTCAGCATGGCGAAAAGACGGTCTGATGTATAAAATATCTTTTAGTATGATTAGAAGACGGTTTGAAATATTAAGTGTTAAAAAATAAATGATTGGATATTTAAAAAAAAATAATTAATTATATTATGATATTTGATGTATCAAGCTGTGTTTTTAGCACACTGAAAAATTTCTCAGGGGAACGACTTAAACATATGGGCTTAAACTTTATCAATTTGCTGTGTACTGTTAATGTGAACTTAAACCAGTGATTTCTTACTAAATAGGTAGTAACGCCCATTCGAATACATTGTTAGATAAATGAGGTTAATGTGCATTATAAATGGAGTTAATTATCGAAACAACTTTGTCATTAAATAAATAAAAAGAATTTAGAAAAATTAAAATCTGATGGCCATAGCCACCATCAGGGAAATCAGAGGGGAATGTTTGTTTCCACTAGGGCACCTCTCCATTTTTTTGGGTGAATGCATTTGAAGCTCTGTCGACCATTGATGTTCTTCTTTTTGTATTTTTTATTGGAAATTGTTGTTGGCACCCTAAAATTCACATTCTAAATTCCAAATTTTTATATTGAGATAGGAAAATACACTTGTGAGGAGTGTATAATGAGATTTTTAAAGTGTCAATAACACTTCCCTTCTTATTTCTCTATTACGAACTTGGATGAGAGGCCGATGTGAAGTAGGGTTGACGAAAGGATAGTGCGGAGCCATGTTCGGTGCCAACGTTGACACCAAAGCCGGTAAAATATGGTGATTCCTATTCTTCTCAAGGATAAGAGAAGGAAGAGACAGATGGAAAAGAATGGGTGTCGTTGGCGAACTCATTGGAAAATTTGATCGACATTTTTGTGTTTTTTATTTACTTGTGGACAAATTCTCGAATTTGAAGGAAAAAATTATTTCTCTTACATTGATCTATATCAATGTATTCGGACATAGTCATTTGGTTTAGTAACATAAGTCTTTACTTGGTTTGAAGACACTCTGAACGCAAATTGCATGAACGATGTATAGTAACAGGCGATAATGTTTTTCATTTAATGGTTTATACTACATTAACATTGGTAAACATATGAAGGAGAAAGTTCTAAGATATGTATCAAATACCATATGCAGGGGCTGAGCAATCTTACTCACTTCTGTTAATTAGTTTCCAGTTAAAAATATTTTTAAAATATTCGTTATTTAATAAAATGAAATTAGAAAAACTTAAAATTGGATTTAATAATAAAATTAAAATTGGAAAAGAGTAAAATGAAGGATGGAGAGTGAGCCACCAGGGAACCATGCACCACTGCCCCATCCCCAACAACACCAGGGTGAAGGGTTGCTATTGAGGTTTTATTCTCCATAGAAATGGTTTTTACCGCTTTTCAATCCACCTCTTCCTCCATTTATACAATGGCATAATATTGACAAATATATCGACATATGAGACTATTGTTACAATTTTATTGGAGGCCGACTTCAAGCCAACAAGACTTTTTACTTTGCGATGATTAGGAGAAAAACGTCTATCGTTCGCAATTTTACTCTTCATTGACAAGGAGACTATTTCTACGACTCAAACCACGTTGTCGGTCACAAAGACTATTTTCCTTCCTTCAGACCATCTTCAACCCTTGGTTTTAACTCAAAAATTTAGGCTTTAACCTAGAAACAGTTTTTCTACTCTAACTCTTATGGGTTAAATTTTTATTCCTCTTAGACCATCTTCAATGGTTGGGCTAAAAGCCAAATTTTTTAGCTCGAAAAATTTAGCTTTTCTGCTCCAACCGTTCTAACCTAAAATTTTAGCCCGAGATTATTAAAGAATGAACTTAGGCTATTTTTTTTGTTAAATTAATTTTTTTTTTAAAAAAATAAATATGTAGACCATTGTAAATTAATTTTATAAACATTTTAATCTAAAAAAATTTAAATTCTGATAAATATTGGGTGGAGTCCACTCCGATTTTTGGGCTAAATTTTGGGGGGAATTTGGCATTGGTTTAGCATTTAGCATTTAGCCCAAAATTTCTCCTTGGGTTGGAGTGAGTTTGGGGGGAAATTTTGGAGGGTAATTTGGCTTGTAGGCTTGTAGCCCACCATTGGAGTTGGTCTTATGGGTTAAATTTTTATTCCGAGATTATTAAAAATGAATTTAGAATAATTTTTTTCTTTACTTTATAAAAAATAAGTTGACTATCCTAATTTAATTTTATGAACATTTTAACCAAAAAATATTTAGGTTCTGATAAATATTAAAAAATCACTAAACGAACGCCATGACAATTGTGGAACACTATGAAAAAAAATATGAAACACATGAACGAATTGTTTTTTTAATTAATTTAGTCGTTGGATTCAAATTTGGACCGTTAGATCTTCTTCTTTTTTTACCGTTGGATTTGTTCATATTAGATTTTAGCCGTTGAATTCAATGAATTTATAAATATAAAAAACTAAAAGAAATACGCATATATGGCAGGGTAGACCACTATCTCAGATGGAATTATGCTCTAAGTTTGCCCCAAAAATGAGTTTTGGGTTAAAACTCATAATTGGCCCAAGGGAGCAAGTTGAAATAGGTTTAAAACTTAAAATTTGAGTTTTATTACAAGGGTTGGTGTGACATCCCACATCATCCAGGGGAGTGATCCTTATATGTATATTCTCATCTCTACCTAGCACGAGGCCTTTTGGGAGCTCACTGGCTTCGGGTTCCATGAGAACTCCGAAGTTAAGCGAGTAGCGCGCGAGAGCACTCCCAGGATGGGTGACCCATCGTGAAGTTATCACGTTCCTAGAAACAAAACCGTGGGAGCGTGGTCAGGGCTCAAAGCGGACAATATCGTGCTACAGTGGTGGAGCGGGCCCGGGAAGTAGTCCCCCCGGGGCGGGATGTGACAATTTGGTATCAGAGCCTAACCCTGGCCGTGGTGTGCCGATGAGGATGTCGGACCCTTAAGGGGGGTGGATTATGGCATCCCACATCGCCCAGGAGAGTGATCCTTATATTATATTCTCATCCCTACCTAGCACGAGGCCTTTTGGGAGCACACTGGCTTCGGGTTCCATGGGAACTCCGAAGGTAAGCGAGAAGGGGGCTAGAGTAATCTTATGATGGGTGGCCCACTGGGAAGTTGCTCGTGAGTACCCAAAAACAAAACCGTGAGGGAATGGTAAGCCCAAAGCGGACAATATCGTGCTACGGTGATTGATCGGGGCCGGGAAGTGATCCGCCCAGGGCCGAGATGTGACAATTTGGTACCAGAGCCTAACCCTGGCCGTGGTGTGCCGACGAGGATGTCGGGCCCCTAAGGAGGGTGGATTGTGACATCTCACATCGCCCAGGGGAGTGATCCTTGTATGTATATTCTCATCCCTACCTAGCACGAGGCATTTTGGGAACTCACTGGCTTCGGGTTCCATAGGAACTTCGAAGTTAAGCGAGTAGTGCGCGAGAGCACTCCCAGGATGGGTAACCCATTGGGAAGTTCTCGTGTGAGTTCCCAGAAAACAAATTGTCACATCCCGGCCCGGGGAAGGACCACTTCCCCGGCCTGCTCCACCACCGTAACATGATATTGTCCGCTTTAGGCCCCGACCACGCCCTGACGGTTTTATTTATGGGAACTCACACGAGAACTTCCCGATGGGTCACCCATCCTGGGAGTGCTCTCGCGCGCTACTCACTTAACTTAAGAGTTCCTATAGAACCCAAAGCAAGTGAGCTCCCAAAATGCCTCGTGTTAGGTAGAGATGAGAATATACATATAAGGATCACTCCCTTGGGCGATGTGGGATGTCACAATCCACCCCCCTTAGGGGCCCGACGTCCTCGTCGACACACCATGGCCAAGGTTAGGCTCTGATACCAAATTGTCACATCCCGCCCCGGGGGGGGACCACTTCCCGGGCCCGTTCTACCACCGTAGCACGATATTATCCGCTTTGGGCCCCGACCACGCCCTCACGGTTTTGTTTCTGGGAACTCACACGAGAATTTCCCGATAAGTCACCTATCCTAGGAGTGCTCTCGCGCGCTACTCACTTAACTTCGAAGTTCTCATGGAACCCGAAGCCAGTGAGCTCCTAAAAGGCCTCGTGCTAGGTAGAGATGAGAATATACATATAAGGATCACTCCCCTGGACAATGTGGGATGTCACAGTTGGAGTAGGTCTTAGTGTATTACGATTATGTGGCACATACTTAGGGTAAAAGGGGCAGAGAAGACTGAGAAAGACTTGGAAAAAGATTCTAAGAAAAAACATAAAATACTTAGAGCTAAAAGACTTGGCGCAAAACCGATCGTATTGGCGTTATAAGAACCGTACAAATACAACACCACTTAATGAAATATGACTTTGTTGTTATTATTATAGTGTAAATTACCATAGAATATCGTATAAAAGTAATATTTTCCTTTGTATAAGCCAATTAATAAGAGTCATTATGTGTCTAAATCAAAGCAATTAATAAGAGTCGTTGTGTGTCTAATCGCATCACATCGTCAATTCTTTATAATCAAGGAAATAATAATAAAATTTAGGTGCGGTGGCCACGATTAAACCAATTAAAAGCAGTGTTTTCATATATGGGCTTGGATGAGAGGCCGACGTGAAGTAGGGTTGACGGGAGGATAGTGAAGAGCCATGTTAAAGTACGGTGATTCCTATTCTTCTCAAGGATAAGAGGAGGAAGAGAGAGAAGGAAAAGAATGGATGTCGTTGACGAACTCATTGGAAAATTTGACCGACATTTTTGTGTTTCTTATTTACTTGCGGACAAATTCTCGAATTTGGAGGGAAAAATTATTTTTCTTACATGATCTATGTCAATGTATTCGGACATGATCATTTGGTTTAGTAACACAAATCTTTAGTTGGTTTGAAGATACTCTGAACGTAAATTGCATGAACGATATATAGTAACGGGCGATAATGTTTTCCATTTAATGGTTTATACTACATTAATATTGGTAAACATATGAAGGAAAAAGTTCTAAGATCTGTATCAAATCATCGATACTATATGCAGGGGCTGAGCAATCTTACTCACTTCTGTTAGTTTCCAGTTAAAAATATTTAAAAATATTCATTATTATTAAAATGAAATTAGAAAATACTTAAAATTCGATTTAATAATAAAATTAAAATTGGAAAAGAGTAAAATGAAGGATGGAGAGTGAGCCACCAAGGAACCAGGCACCACTGCCCCATCCCCAACGACACCAGGGTGAAAGGTTGCTATCGAAGCTTTATTCTCCATAAAAATGGTTTTTTACCCCTTTTTCAATCCACCTCCTCCTCCATTTATACAATGGCATAATATTGACAAATATATTGATATATGAGACTATTTGCTACGATTTTGTTGTGGGCAGGCTTCAAGTCAATAAGACTTTTTGCTTTTCAATGATTAGGAGGAAAACATCTATTGTTTGCAATCTTATTCTTTAATGACAAAGATATTATATCTACAACTCAAACTCATGAGCTGTCGATCACAAAGAACAACCTTTCTATTGCTACGATTTCTAGTATCTCATGATTAGAGTCATTCAGGTATTGGAGTGTGCTATCCACACATCATTTTTTACTTCTCACACATCCCTTATTAATTTCTATTTGTTGATCTTTTTCAATTCATCCGATCTAACGATCGAAAACCAAAAAAATATAGAAGAAGTAAAAAGGAATGTGTGAATATCACACTCCTTAGGTATTACCTTAGGGCATAAACAAACTTGGATTTACTTTGTGGTTTATTCAAATCATATGTTCATGAGTCACGTTACGAGTGACTGACCACTCCCACCTTCGTCCAATTTCTTTTCCAAAAACAGTTGGAACTTGGAAGCCATTGCTATTGAATTGATATCTCATCCGACAAATTTATTAAAAAAACAAGAAAAGAAGTCACTATAAATGCATGGAGAAAAAAAGAGAAGATGACTAGACGCACGGTGACCAAATCGAGGTAAAGAAATATTTTAAAATATTTTAGAGTTTGGAATTGGCATGACACGTTGCAAACGTAAAAAATGGAGTCAAAGGCTGTGGGCTCGCCACGTGTTAAATAAATATATAAAGTTGGTAAGACGATGGGGAAAAATATTGGATAAGGACATGCCCATGTCTATGAGAGTGAGAGTGATGTTGTTCATGAGTCATATACCATCACGGTCTTCAAATTCGAGTTTCGTTTGTCACCCCTTGATTTCCAGAGAGGCATTCCTTTGTTTGAATGGTTGCTTTCCTTTGTTTCTACTAGCCTTCATGTACGCGCTCACGAATATACAGAAGATATTTTTTAAATTACAGTTTGTTACGTTCGACTTACACGTTTTAAATGTATTATTATGCGCGTGCGAAAGATCTTTTTTATAATCATCATTACACGTCTCTTAAAATATTTTGAACATGTTTAAAAATAGAGAAAATAATATTTAATAAACAACTGATTGAATCATCTTATTACTAGCCTATTGTGAGGTACTAATTGAAAAAAACACTGTACAAAATGAATTAATTATTAAAAAACACTGTTTATACGATGAAAATACCTTGTATTATTTGGTGCATTATTTTGAATTGTTCTTGAACTTTTTTGTTTGGGAGACATTTTTGTCCTAAAATTTTTGATGAAGCTGATGACCCCACAGGGGCCTCCTAGCTCTTTATATATAATATATATATATATATATATATATATATATAAAGATAAAAATTACTAGGTGACTCGGAATATCGACTACTCTGAATATTTTAATGTTATATTTTAATCTTTATATTTTAAAAAAAATAACAATTTAATGATACTACTGAAGTATCCAAGAAAATATCTTTGTCCCTAAACTAATATCTCCTCTAATGTCTCATGCCTAGTGCCTGTCAGATTGGAACGTGATTTCAATTCGTCAAATTTTGTTAAAAAGAGAGTTATTTTTCATTGAAACAACATTGATAGCATAAACAGACAGAAAATGAGATTGGTCTGATAGTACAGAAGAATTGATGCATTTTAAAAGATTACAGGAGGCCACAAAAGTAGTTGAGACTCAGGTGAACAAATTGATAAAAGGTCATAGATTTTTGGTAAATTATGATAAAGAATTTACGCTCAACATAGTTCACTTACTAATATCACCGATATTGTCTTTAACTTAACTACTTATAACTAAGAATGTGATTCGCAAAATACATAAATAAAAGTAGAAGTCATTTTTCGTAACGCATTGTAATTCACGGTCATTTGGTGGTATTAACTATTAACTTATACATAATGAAGCTTGCGTTAACTCTGTGTTTATTAAAATCATATGTTCATGAATCACGTTATGACGGACTGACCACTCCTACCTTCATCGAATTTGTTTCAAAAAAAAAATTGACAGAGGCGAATGAAATGAAAGCCATTACTTTGGAGATCTTATCTGGGTTAAATTTAGAAGAATCACAAGAAATGCATGGAAAAAGATGACAAGCGGATGAGAGAGTGACCAAATCGAGGAAAAGAAAGATTGTTTGGAAACTTTAGGAGTTGGAATTCCGTGGACACTTGCATATCTTTCTTTGGAAACATTAGGAGATGAAATTCCGTCGACATTTTACATGTCAGCATGTGTAAGTTTCGTTTCATATAATGTTATGTTACAACATCAAAACATCACTATTGCGGTATTCCCATCCATCTAAGCCATTCTCAAGCAGTAGGGTCGAAGGCTATAGACTGACCACGTGGATGAATAGAAAATATATTAAATACAAATGCTGGTAAGAGACAATGGGAAGATGTTGGATTTGGACATTGGCGGTGCTGACGAGACTGAGATATCAAGTTCATGAATGGTACCAATATGGTTGCTGATGCAGATGTTAGCTTCGTAATTTTATTTCGTAAAAAGTTATGAAAGTGTATGCAAATCATACGTACTTTATAATCTTTCAAAATTTGTCAATTCGTCAAATTTTTGATAGAAAGAGAGTTTTTCTCATTGAACGATATTGATAACATAAACGGACAAAAAATGAGATTGGTCTGATAATACGGAGGAATTAACGCATTTTAAAAGATTACAAGAGGCCACAAAAGTAGTTGAAACTCAAGTGAACAACTTGATAAAAGGTCATAGATTTTTGGTAAATCATGATAAAGAATTTATGCTCAACATGGTGCACTTACTAATATCACAGATATTATCTCTAACTTAACTACATATAACTAAGAATGTGATTTACAAAATACATAGATGAAAATAGAAGTCATTTTTCGTTACGTATTGTAATTCACGGTCATTGGGTGGTATTAACTATTAACTTATACATAATGAAGCTTGCGTTAACTCTGTGTTTATTAAAATCATATGTTCATGAGTCACGTTATGACGGACTGACCACTCCTACCTTCATCGAATTTGTTTTAAAAAAAAATTGACAGCGGCGAATGAAAGCCATTACTTTTGAGATCTTATGCGGGTTAAATTTAGAAGAATCACAAGAAATGCATGGAAAAAGATGACAAGCAGATGAGAGAGTGACCAAATCGAGGAAAAGAAAGATTGTTTGGAAATACTAGGAGTTGGAATTCCGTCGACACTTTACATGCCAGCATGTGTAAGTCTCGTTTCACATAGCTTTGTGTTACTGCATCAAAACATCACTATTGCGATATCCCTGTCCATCTAAGCCATTCTCAGCAGTAGGGTCGAAGGCTATAGACTGACCCAGTGGATGAATATAAAATCTATTAAATACAAATGCTGGTAAGACAATGGGAAGATGTTGGACTAGGACATTGGCGGTGCTGACGAGATTGACAGATCAAGTTCATGAATGGTGCCAATATGATCGCTGGTGCAGATGTTAGCTTCATAATTTTTTTTCGTAAAAAGTTATGAATGTGTATGCAAGTCATACGTACATTGCTATTCCTGATATAGGAAAGAAATTTCGATGAGCATCTTTTCTTTCGTTTACTTTCTTTTACAAAAATTCTAAAATCTTCCACATTTTTTTCCTTTCGCTTACTTTCTTTTACAAAAATACTAAAATCTTCCTCCTTTTTGGTTAGCGACTCCACTCGTGTCAACAGAGCTGTAAGCCTAATTATGTGTTTGCTATTACATTAAACGTAACTCACATTGATATTACTTACTTATTCTATATATAAATAATCACGTATCAGAGTAGTTTATTCCATGCACGAACAACCAACAACCCCAAAAAAACCAAACCCTGGATCTACTCCCAACCTCAGCCGCTGGCCCCTTGCTCCGACTTATGATTAGCAACAGCCTCACTCTTATGGCACCTTCACTTTGCTTGGCTTGCAGGAGCGGTGGATCTTACAGATGCAGATGCAGTATCGTCTCAGGTAGAGAGAACCTGGTCGGTGGATATAAGAGAACGGTGGATTCTATTCTTGCATTAGTGTACGTTTCGTATGTACGACATCTAGTGGGTGATGTCTTGCCCAGCAATTGATGGGGTATCGCTCTCACCAATGGTTTTTTTTTTTTTCTCTAGCTTGCCAACTATAATAACATTATGTTCGCCTCAATCTAGGTCTGCTGCGTTTGCTGTGTTTGTGGCAGATTGGTACGGAAGTGCTTGTAGGAGCCGTTAGGAGTTTACTGTTTATGCTTATTTATTTGAGTTATTTATAGATCAGTCTATTGGTCACTAGAGAATGTACTCATACAAATACAACAATCTTTATAATTGTGTTCGTGTGTGTTAATGAAAATTACCATCGCTTCGTGTATAAAAAAAAAAAAAAAAAAAAAATCATTCTCATTTCAATGAAACATCCTCATAAATTAGTTATCAATTCCTCCTTGATTTATTCCAATTTTCCCTTGACTTTCAGTTTTGTTATGGGCTTCATAATATTTAAAAATGTGTCAATTTGCCCCCATCGTCAAATTTGTCTAGCTACCCTCAAAACAAGGGTTATTATCGTCCCTTCCGGATATCGTTACTAATAGAAATGAGTGGTGATATTCTTACTCCGGTGTCTTATTTCCCCACCCACCATTTAATGAAAATGTTAATAACATATTTATCATTTTAGAAGAAGACTCTTAAATTCCTATTTAATTCGGTACTAAAATTTTGAAAAAACAAAAAATAATTTAAAATAATAAATAAATAAATAATGATGGGTGGGGTGTGATATCTTTGGTGGAAAGAGGTTGGGAAAGATTTGAGTTAGAATCAACGGAAAGGTTGGAGGAAGGAATGGGCGTGTGCTAAATGAAGGCGAGAAACTTCAATGAAGAAAAAAGAGAATGAGGTGTGAGATCTACGGTTTTGACAAAAAAGGAGGAAGAAAGTGGTTTGGTGATCTAGAGTCTCTGCAGGGCAACGTTAGTTGTGAAGTAACAGATGAATGTCTAGATCTTAGGTCTTGCATTTTCTTTCATTTTTTTCTATTTTTATTTATTTATTTATAATATTATTTAAAGATATATTAGAGTTATTTAAAAAAAAAATATTATGGTTATTTTGAGAATAATGATGGATGGGGAAATAACATTTTACTTTTTTAATTTTGTATGGTGAGTGAGATTATCATGTGGGTGAAAAAATAAGACATTGAAGTAGATTTAGTAGCACTCATAGAAATTGACTCAAAATGCAACCAATTTGACAACTGGGGCAAGGAGGGAGGCAGGAAAAAAGAATTGACACGTTTTCAAAACTTATGGTGGCCCATAAGTTTGGGCCAAAGCCAATTTTTCCAATTAATTTACTACCTATGATAAGTTCATTGACCAAAATCATTATTTTGGTCGACGAAACTTAGAGCTCAAGTGACTAAGAGATGTATGCAAATTTCCTATGTTCGAGTCCCCTTCCCAACTTGTGTGCGTTTCACAATGATTATGACTGAAAGCGTTTTTGATGAAAATACTTTGAAATCAATTCGCAGAAAAAATTTAAGTGAATCCTGAAAAAGTACTTTTAAGTAATTCTTGTAAGAAGCATATATTTGATGCTTCTTCTAAAAAAACACTTAAAGTGTTTTGAAACCCAAAACCAATTTCACCAAAAAACGCTTTCAATCATTCTAAAGACTCCAAACCGGTCTTCTATAATAATAACAACTACATATAAAGCCATTATTTTTTGTTCCTCAATCCAACCAAACCCACAAAACATAGGTTCTTATGGGCCTTACGGATAGTGTCATATACTAAAGTCCAATGAGCTGAGCCCAAAAACCCAGGATTTCTAGAACAATCTACTTTCTCTTCCACGAAAAGTCACACTGCTCTTCCTTCTTTGCAAAATTGCAACTGCAGCAATCAAATCTTAAACCCTAAAATCTAAAACCTAATTTCACAAGCACTAAGTAAAAGTGATTAAACAGAAATCAGAAAATAAATCGAGAGAGAGAGATCAAAAAGTTGACCGGCCAGCCAGTAATTTCGTCAATTCCAACAATTTTCGAATTCAAAGATTCCAAAATCTACAGTGTTATTGCCTATCCATTCGGTAGATTGTACTAGTAGTAGTAGTAGTGTTCGGAGTCTGCTACCTTACAGAGTTCCAGAAGCTTCGTCGGCGGCGGTATCGGCAGCTTTGACGGTGGCCTCGGTGGCCCTGACGGCGTCGTCTTCGTCGGGATCGTGGGCCGGGTCGGACTTGTTCATGGCGGCGCGGGCCTTGTCGAGGAAGGGCTTGAAGGCGAGCTCTATGGCCAGCCAGCCGACGGCTAGGGCTCCGAACACCACCGCCGCTTGCTTCGCTCCCGACGCTTTCCCCATCGCTGGTTTCTTTTTCTTCCGGTTGAAAAAGTTTGACGAATTTGAAAATATTTGTACGATTTATTTGGGATTTCTGGTTTTGGCCCCCTGTTTGTTAACAAGTGGATAAAAATACCCGCATGGGAATACGATGTCAAGTTAACTCTTCTTGTTTATTAAGGGTATGTTTGGACTTGCAGTCTAATTTCTAAAAGTGCTTTTGACTGCGTATGACCAAATGGTGGAGAAATTTTTAATAGTGACGGGAATACGAGTGATATATTATGTGTTTTTATGTAAGTAGTGAAAATTTTTATTTTTTAAGTTATTAACTTTTTGACACACATATTCTACTATTTATGTAATTACATGTTATATACCATCCCGTATGACGGTCACACTGAAAAATCTCTCCAACTTTTGAGTTAGTAGAGTTTTATATAGAAGCACATGCTTTCAAGAAACACTTGTACAAAAACAGTCTAAAACGTTCGCTGCAGTAACAATACGACATCGACTATTGACTTCTTGTAAAACACTTTCAGCTCATTTGGATTGCTTCTTTAAAAAACACTTTTGTTTAAAATCAGTTGCAGTAAAGTGTTATACTAGATGCACATTGAAATTTTTACATTTAAAAAAAAAAAAAAAAAAAAAAAACAGGTCCACCCTGGAGTGCTTACTCAAAGAAGCTCAGAGAATGTGTTATTCTTAAAAAAGCATTTCAAGTGTTTTTTTAATCTATTAACAATTTTAATTTTTTCTGCCGAACATGACCAAATCGCTTTTAATAATCTACAAACACTTTTTGTTGTTTTAAATACACTTCTAACCATACCCTATGTGTTAGACCAATTACACTTAGTGGTACAATAGCGCACAAGAACCACTCTAGTGATATTCCTCTTTCCTTATAAGTAAAAAATTTTAGGTTCGATTTTTGCTCGAGACGAATTTGAACCACATTATTATAATTAGCCCAGTACAAGACTTTACCCATTTCCCCACCTTTTAATGTAGATGATATCATTCGTTCATAAAAAAATAAAAATAAACAGTAATTGGGATATGCCTACTCAATTTACCGTAGGTTTGTTTAAAAACCTGTAATTCAAGTAGCTTAAAACATTTCGTCATGCACCGGAGATATGAGATGTCAAAAGCATATTTGATTAACTTCTTAACAGAACTTTAAGAATTCACTGGGCATAGACAACAAATTAAAGTACAGTACCGCAACTCAGTTAACGTCTCCAAGATCACAATGACAAGTTCCTTCCTATAGAGGAGTTTACGTAACCCGGTGTCGCAAAAATTAACGGCCACGGCCACGTCCGCGACCACGTCCACGGCCACGCCCCCGTCCCATAGGCCTCCCTGTAATTGAAAATAAACACAGGAAACCCATTAAGATGATTAATGGCAAGGACTGCGAGATAGCAGAGGAATGAATACGTTCAGAGAGTTTATATGATAAACACAAAGGTTGCAGTACCTGCAGTTGGCTTCTTGGGCTTGACCCTAGGTGTCTCTTCAACAAGCAAAGTCTCGAGATTCAGGCTGTCAGGAAGGATATAGTATCGAATGTTGTTACCCCTCACGCTGAGATGATCCAGAGTCACTGGGTTCTTCCCCTTGAGTGTAAGTTTCACCGTCTTCAAATGAGTATTCATACTGATATCCACACCTGTAACGACAAGCAAAGTTACCAATCAGAACAGCTACTTTTCCCTTCCTGTACGGTAGTTTAAAACAACGCATGTGGAAGTGCGCACCCAGATTAAGATGATAATCTATCTAAAAAGTTTAAGTTAAATCTCTTAATTTATCTCTACAAGGCAGTCCATTCAAAAAAAGCTGAAGCTTTTTTAACCTTTACTGGATGCTATTATGCAATACACAAGGATCTCCTTTGGAGACTTGTAATACAACTAGAGCTGTTTCGCAGACATATTTGTATTATGTACAGCAATGGTCGTAATTTTCATTACAAACATTGTCTAAAATACAAAAAGGCATCATAAGCTTTCAACGTCTTTTACGTGAGCGCTAACTTGAAAGCATATCCTTGCCATTCCAAATTTTAAAATCGAGTGTTCTGCAGATAGCTAATATATTGAAGTAATCATGAGTGCTCGTGCAGATTACGGGCTGAAAATGGCATCAGTTTAGAGATAAAGCAAAATTACATCCCCAACTCTCAGGAACCCAATGCTGAGCACACTTGCAAGCGTCTTTGAGCCATGAACTTCAAAAGGAAATAGAAGCATCTTGAAATACACAACCGATTTTCGCATATGTTTGTTCTCAGCATAAAGGATAAGAACACCCCAGGAATTCTCTCTATCAGAAATCACAACGATATAGATGCCGGGAAAATAAACATATACACTATAATAATCTATTGTGGAAACCTTTCAAAATTGTGTGCTACAACTATTGTATAGAAAACAATGGTCTTAAAACAATCCTGACCTCTTTAGATGTAAATGTACCCAATGCCAAGTAAGAAAATCATTCAAGATTCTCGAACTCTAGATAGTTGGACATATCCCGTTCACTGAATAATCTACGTAAGTAGAAAAACTAAAATTACTGAGCATTCAACACATTTAACATACAATGTACATACCATACTTATACTGAATAAGACATTAAGAACTCAACAAAATTAGACTTAATTGCAACCCTAGTATACGCTAAACCCGCCCTGATTCAACGTTTGAGCGGTTCTTCCCCACAGCCGATTTATACGAAATGATAGCACCGGATGAGCAAAACCTTAATTCTAAAAACATCCAGAGGTAACAAACATACAATCTCAGTTCACTGGAGATGCTCCACAGAGTAAAAACGACAAATTGTGCATTCCATGTTTCACTATAAATATCTCAGTCTTTGTACACAGTACATGTGATACGGAACCGAAATTAAACTTAAACAAGACCCACTTCTTCTATAAACACGAAATTCCAAACCCAAGCCTAATCAAAACCCTAGGGTTTAGTAAAGCCCTAATTATCCAAAAACCTCACCTAATTCAACAAATTAGAAAGAAAGAGAGTAAAGCGAGGAAAGGAGAAGTATACCTGTGATGGTTCCGTTCACAACGGTGCCGTTTTTGAGCTCGATCGACACTGTCTCGTTGTTCAACTTCATCAAAAACCTGCAAAATTTCCCAAAAAACATCCAAAAAAGGCAATCAGTGGAAAACCAACGGCGCTTTTAACTGAGGAAGAAGAGGAATTAGGGTTTGAAGAGGAAGACGAACCTGACGAGCTTCATTGTGGTGATAACAGTGACGACAGCTAGGGCTTCGAAGCTTCTTCAACCAAACAAACGAAGCGGGAGAGTGAGAGGGGGGACCTGATACGGTGGCGCTTTATTTGATGCCGTCTGACGACAGAGCGGGCCTCAAGATGGGCCTATGTGGGTCCATTAATGTTTAAGCTGATTCATGAAATTCAAGCCCAAAACATGATTGACTCAAAAAAATTATATTTTTTTTGCCTTTCAGAAAAAAATAATTCAATTTTGACTAAAATATTTATATGTACTTAATAAAAACATCATTTATAATTCATGTTAATATATATTATTAATACAATCATCATCTAAACGGTGAGAAGAAAAATTTGATTTGCATTTAGGCTAATAAGTAACTTAACTACAATTATCAATGTTTTAAAACATGGATACACGGTATTAAATTTCAAGAACTTCTAGAAATTGAATTGATATGTGATATCAAATCTCAAGAACAACATTGATAGATTTTCAAATCGAGATAATAAATGATGAGTTAACTCAATTTCGAGCATCGTTTGTAATGAAAATTGCACTTAAGTAAAAATGATGTATTACTCACGTCATAGGTGATTCATGAGGTCGTTTATCAATTTTATTGGAAAAGGATCATCGCTAGATTATTTTCCTAGGGATCCAGAGGATTCAGAGATCATGTCTGTTCATCGTGCGGTCAATTTTCGTTAGGTACTATTCTAATTTTATTAGTAGAGTTTGTTGAATATTTAACTTTTGGTACGATTCGATTGATGGTTTTTTTGTTTTTAGAGGGAATGCAAATGAAAAAACCATTTTTTCATCAAAGTTTTTGGAAATAGAGTTGAGTAATAGGGATCTTCAAAAGAAAACCAAAAGTGTGAACACAGAAACCAAAAGTACGAACACAAATTAGCGCAAAAGGAGCAGATAGTGGTGGCGGCTCCCCCAAGCTTTATAAACGGAGCGTATTCTTTGACACCGATTAGCTGGTTGCCTCTCTACCTCTCTCTCCACAACTTCTCTCTCTCAACGTCTCCCTCAAGTCAGTCTGATCCATCCGAACCCAAAACCCTAATTACTGTCTGAGTCCCATCGATTCAGCAGATTGAAGAAACCCTAGTCAAATGGTAACACCCACAGATCCACATCACTGTTTAATTATGCTTTATCTTCAAAATCCCAATCCCAAAAAATGGAAAAAAGAATTTGAATACAAAACACAAAAATTGGGATTTAATTTTGTTAATCACATCGTTTCGATTTCTTAGTTGATTCATTTGTTGGGTTATGCTTAATTTTTAATTAGGATGGAGAAGAAAGAAGATTGGGATTCAAGAGAAAAAACCCATATCGGGATTCTGGGTTTCAGAACAGAAATCATCATCAAGCTTTTGATAGACACATGCTTCCTGAAGGTAGGCAATGCTAACACCGATTAGTGATTGAATTAGTGTGATTGCTAATCATGGATTAATCATGTTGTATTAGTAGTTAATTGGGTTTCCGGTTTTCGCTCGCGGTGTAGGTTGGGTTGGTTGCCCTGCATATGGTGGAGAAATAAGTTGTATAATTCCATCAAAAGCACCTCTTGGTGAGTCTTTCAATGACCATATTGCTGGTGCTACATACACTCCAAAGCAAGTCATTCATCAGCAAAGACTGCTAGGAAGAGAAGTAATTATATTCCCTTTTTTTTTCTTCTGTAAAGTACTGTACTTTATCTTGTATGATGTTGTTGTGCTGATTGATTTTTATGTTTCAAGCTCGGTTTAGTGATTGATTTAACGAACACTACTCGTTACTATCCCCTTTCGGATTGGACAAAAGAAGGCATTCGGCATGTTAAG